AAATATGAAGAAAATATTCCACCTTCTTGGATCTACAGCCCCTTAAAATAATTTCTATTTTATTGATTAAAAGATAACAGTTTGGTAGCAGAGGCAACTGATCCTATGGTCTGACCGACTGGACTTGATGGATGCAGTAATAAAAAGAATGGAGCTTTGGTCAAAGTGCATAATTTTTTCACAACCCAGCTTAATGTTGCAGGTGGGTAGATCAACATTAGTTGAAACTGAAACTTCAGCCAAGGGAAAAAAGTTTCAGCTGTTGCTGAAATGAAATTTGAAGTTTGACTCCAAGTTCTCACTGGACAAGGTAATAAAGTTAGCAGAATGAATGTTAAATAGGTGCATGTAAAAATCAAAAGACAGCAGTCAAGGATGGAGCCCTATAGTACATCAGATGTCACTGTCTATTTGCAGAAGCACAAGATATTAGAAGCCACTGCAATGGTACGATCAAAATGCCACATTTAAAATGAATATTCAATACACACCAAGTTGTCAGTTTAAAAACTTAGCAAAATCAGGCAAGTAAACCCATACATCAACCACCCATCCAACTGCTTAATTCTTGGCCTAATGATCTGATTTTTGATCTTTGCATTTAATTTTCTTCACACTTGCACAATTGTGAACAATTCACGTGAACCACAAACTCATTATCCAGTTATGATCTCAATTTTTCAATATAAAAATTGAAATCATCAGCATTAATAGATGGAAAAATGCACATCATGTACAATATGTACATGATCTGAGAAGTCTGAATGCAGTGTTGATTGTACAGAAAACCCAAGCATTTCAAAATGTATGTCTTGGGAAGGGAAAACCTGCATAAATGAAGTGTATACATTCCATGCCACTCATCCAGGTTTAATGAACCTGCAGGTTAAAATGACTAAGTATTGAAATTTTACACTTCATTTGTCACCTTCAAAACTAATTAATGGGAGGAAGATTTGATTTGCACAGCATGTTTCTCAGACTAGAGCAAAAGCACAAACTCAGCAAAACTGAAGTGCAAATGTCTGGGTTAAAAAAGTTCTAATTTATTTTCTGGCACACGTAATCAACTCCTGCAACACAAATAATGTAACTTCTATCAAATCAATCTAGCAACATTCAAGTTGCTAGAAAACTGGGATCTCTTATCACTGCTTCCAGTGGTTGCAAGTGATGTATTATTGCAAGATGAAAAGTGTCATTGATTAGCAAATGTTGCTAAAACAGGTTTTTGGTCTGAAACAAAAATTAAAATTGAACCTTGTGCTGCAGCTTTTTTGGATGAGTATGTTTTCTACTTGCTTTCTTGAAACGTTTCGATCAAACAAATAACTGAGCTCTGGGTGAGACTTTAAGCCAATACTTGGCAGGCACAGAACAGCTGAGGGAAAATTAAAGCTATTCCGGCTTTATTCTTACCTCTTAAAAGCAGGCAAATCCAAGTCCAATGAATGTTATTGTAACGTCTACTGACTCAACTTAATGGAAGATCTACTCGTAACACGAATTACAACAGCTTTGATGGCCACTAGTTACATTGTTCAGGGCACACAGCTGCAGGGTCAAACAATTTGCCACCTTTTCCTCGAATGTCAGTTCAAATGAGCACTTTTGTTTTGATACAATAGTTTCTGGCTATTTCATGGGTGATGGATTGCATCCATGTGGCCACCTGAAGAGCATCCAGTAGTTTTTGTTAACAAGCAGTTCATTACAATCAAATCCTGTGGTGACTGTGCCATAAACTGCAATTATTTCAATCCCCTCGATATTCATAATAATGGAAGTTCCCAATTTTAAGAATGACTTGTTTTTATTGGGCCTTCACAATCACCCAATACCTCAAAGCAATTTATAGCCAGTAACAGAGTACTTTTGAAGTGCAGCCACTTATGTAGGAAATTTAGTCAGGTTAGTAAAACATGGAGGAGCCATACTTGCCACAGCAACTAAAATATACTTTTTAACAATAGTAAATGAACATATAATTGCATGTGAATAAGAAACATGTCCATTCCTTTCCAAAAGGAATTTTGGATAAGAAAGCTCATGTGGATCAGTTAACTTCAGATTCACCAGGTGACTTGTGCATCATTTCATTGTCAAAATCCTAATATATTTTGGAATCTTCACAGCAATGTTTTGGAAAAACATCTGGCCTCATGACTTTTTCCAGTTAAGGTTTAAGGTGATAGCAAATTAGTCCTATAAAGCAAGTGGAAACAGCTCGGTATGTAACAACATCAAGCACCTTTGATCAACATTTTCAGTCTTGCTTTAAACAGTTGTCCCCAGCTCCAACTCATGCTAACCCAGTCTTCTCTTCATGTCAATCTCTGGGGCGATACACCAGCTTTAACACATCAACAGTGGTCAAACAAACCCAAAACAGAAAGAACGCACATCTGACATGGAATTTGAACAGTAACTTTCTGGCACAATAAAAATCAGAAGGCTGGCCATTGATCTTCTCTTTATTGCTGTGTTTAACTGGTGTCCAGCATATCATAGTTACTGTGCAAAAGGAATGGTACCTCAAAAGCTGCACTAGATGCTACACATTATGTTAATGCAAATTTGGGACTACAGGAGTGTTTTTGAAGCCAATTAACAATGGAGGCAGTGGCCACATTTGGATTCTGGGTAGATCTCAACATTCATGGGAATGTAAAGCAAGGTGACAATCAGGTCACCCATTATACATCTTGACTGGTTTTCTTGTCCTAAATCAGAAGGAAAAAAAATTAGGCAGGCTGACCCAATGCCTAGTTTTATACGCCCCAAGTTGAAAGTTTCTTCTGTTCTTAACTTCAGGTTTGATCAGTTAGCAGACTGGTGCTGACACACCAGTTTTTTTGATAGTAACTTTTTCCAAAGCTTAAAATGTTGTTGTCTGGATTGCTATTCAAGCAACTAAAGACAGACAGCCCTATTCACATTGTAAATGTACGTGGTTGTGTGCAAATTGAGAGAACTCACCCTCTTAAATTCATTTCTATGTAACAACAGCAACTACATTTCAATTGTAGATAATTTGTAGTAAAGTCCTTTAGAACAAGATTCTCAAAGGTCCCAAACAAGTATATTTGGAATATTTCTCAATAGCTCAGCTATACAACATTGGTGAGTGTTTTCTTATTAAATCTTCGAAGTTCACATGGAAGCTAGTAACTATTCTTTGTGCAATTCCTAAATGCTGTCAAATGTTTCTAATGACACTGTTAGGTAGCATTATAGGCAGTGTAGTTGATAAAATTTCAAGGATACTGATGGACGAGGTGAGTGAGCAAAACTATGGCAACCAAGTGTGAGGATATCTATTTTAAAAATTTAGATCAGGGCACTGTCCAGATGCTATGAAGTTCAACACAAATGGATGCCCAAACAGATTTGGGAGCACAGCTGCACACGTCTTTAAAATATTGCAAACAGGTGCAGAAAATAATGAAAAAAGCACTATGGAATGCTGGCCTTTATACCTGGAAGACTGGAGTACAAGGACACAAGTTATGCTGCAGTTATACATAACACTGGTTAGAGCCTACTTCAAGAACTGACAGATCTGGACACCAAATGCAAAGAACATATATTAGCCTTGGAGGGAGACAGTGTATGTTTATAATGAATGATGTTTGGACTTTGGAAGTTAAATTGAGATATTACACGAAGTAGGGCTGTTTCCTCTAGAATTTAGAAGGGGTGATGTGATTGAAGTCTTAAAGACATTAAGAGACAGTTACAGTTAGACAACATTTTTCCACTGCTTGGGGATTCTAGAATTAGTGGGCAGAGACTAAAAATTAGGGCCAGACTGTTCAGGACAGAGGTGGCAGCGGTGAGTTTGGGCCCAGTATGAGACCTGACAGATCAGCAGTGGCTGTTGCATCGGTGAGGTCCAGTGAGGACTCACTGGTGAGGGCATCAGTGGAGGGGAGATCGTAAAACAAACAAAAACAAAAAAACAGCAACTTTTGTTCCAGTGGGACAGCAAAGGGGATTTCATGCCTGGCCACCTGGCCACCAGGCCCAAGACAGCACTTAAAGTGTCTAACTTTATAATCCTTTATCTCATTTGTCTGCCTTTATAATTCTGTGTTTTGGTTTATTTTTGTGTTTTAAGATGGCACCAGAGAATGGTGCCATTATTCATCAGTTCACTATTTTGTAACAAAATACTTGACAATAAATAAAATACAGTATTTGCATAAGCATTTGTGACAAGTTAAAGGACACCACAAAGCAATTGCTATTTGAAGGGCTGAACTCCAAAGGATACCCAAGTCCCTTTGTTTACAAGTTACAAAGTTAACATGCAGGTACAGCCAACTAACAAAGCAGCACATTATGCTGGCCTTTATTACAGGTGGCTTTGATTACAGAAGTAAAGTCTTACTGCAATTATACAGAGCTTTGGAACCATTTTATGCAGTTTTGGTCTCCTTGTTCAAGGAAAGATATACTTGTCACAGAGGGAGGAAAAAAGCTTTACTAAATTAATTTCTGGGATAGGAGGACTGCCCTGAGGGACGATTATCAAAAGAATAGGTTTACAATTGTTGAAGTTTAGAAGGGTAATCTCATTCAAACATACAAAATTAAAGGAACTGACTAGATGAACACAGGAAGGCTGTTTCCTCTGGCTGATGTGTCTAGAATCAAGAGGTGGAAAGAGTGACTTAGAACAAGGGGTACTCCATTTAGCATAGATAAAGGTGCAATTTCTGTATTCAGAAGATAATGAATCTTTGGATTCTCACTTTGGAATGCTCAAATGACTGAACCCGTTTAGCCCTAAGTATTTTCAAGTCCAAGTCGATAGATTTCTACAGATTAAAACACACCTAGGGATACAGATATACTGGATGAAAATGGCAATATAGAAGGTCAGCCATGATCTTACTGAATGGCAGAGGAGGCTCAAAAGGTCTACTCCTAATGTTCTTATGGTTACTCTGGAGGGATGTGCAAGCTGGGATGCATCAATTTTATCTTGGCCTTACCTTCTTTTTATCCCGCATTGAACTTTTCCCTCTAACCATGATCTTGCAACCAGTCTCTGCTTCCAGCTGTTTTGCTGTGAGTCCTCTTGGGCCAAGGATCCTACCAACAAAATTAAACTGAAGGGAATAAAACAAAGCTAAATGTTAGATAACATGACACTTATAAGCATTGCAAAAAATCAAATTCTAAACAAATATAAAGCAGCTTTCAAATTAGACTGCCAACATCTTGAAGAAAACAAATTTCCACAAAACTTTTCCAAGTTTTCAGTGTTTATGTTACAGTACTAAAACAAGCTATACTCAATGCCAGAATAGTTTACCCTGAGATTTACCTATTTTCATAATTTGATTCATGGTTCACTGAAAATTATCTAAAACAAATCTCCTCGAAAATAAAAATTGACATCTAGGGTTACTTGCAACTTTCAGGTTGACAGCAGGGGAGAAGACAGATATAGACACGACGAAGAGAGTTGAACTTGTGAATTGAATACTCAATTTTTGAACGAAAACATTTTCATTTTGAAATCAACTAGTTAATTATTAACCCTGCTACCTGAATTGCTCAAAACAAATGTTGACTTAGATGAGACGTGCCCTCCATGTGCAATTTTTTCTCTAAAACTGAAAGCTGAATTTTGGAAGCAAAGTAGCCCAAAATGGGAGTAAATGGGAGTAAATGGGAAAAGACAGTAACAGATTCAGGGAAAAGGCATAACAGTCAAGACAAAATTCAGTAAAACAGGGATGAAAAGAAAGAGATTGGAGAGACTAAGCAGCTATGGGAATATTTTCTCCACAGTATCAGACCAATTAGTTCCAATTTGTGGCTCTTAGTTGAAAGGGAAAGGTTTTCTTTAAAAGAAAGAGGGGGAAATATATGGAAGCAAAATAAGCAACAGATAAAGACCCAATTTAACAAAACTTTATACAAGCTGTTCACATTAACTTTGAAAGCATTGTTAAACAGCCAGAATTTCCAGAATTGCTTGGGAGCTCTAAGTGAAAGATAGGAAATCTACAAACAGGGACATGTTAAGTAAATTCTAAACACAAAGGCAACAGGATTTTCCATTCTTTGAGATACTGCACCAAGTAGACCGAAAATGCACAACTCAAAAAAAAGTTGCCTCATTCGTGCTTTGAGATATAATATGCACAGGATAACCAAGTATCCACCCTCTAATTATAGCAAACTCTTATCTGCAATGACCACAAACAGAAGACTGCAACACTTGAAAGTGGCAATTCGGTTTTTAATTTTGAGTGGAAGTCTTGTGAAGCTCTATGGGATAGGACAATTGTACGGTGCTCCCAAACAGGGAAGAATATGTAGTAAGTCAGTGTTCACTCAAGACCAGAACTGTTGGAATAAAATCCTGAAGGCTTAAAGCTTTAAGTAGTGTACAGTAGCTCCAGATAGAAGCTATCTGCAGTTTCAGCCTAAAAATTAAAGTCACAAGTGGTTTAAATCTACGAACAAGTTTAATACAGGGATTAGGATGAGTACTGTACCAAGAATATGTTTTGGCACTCTTCAAAAGCTGGCTTACTTTTCCAATTTAGGAGTGTATTTGGCCTTAAAATCTAATTAGATGGTTGAGTTTATTCTCTCATCTTCCACTTTCCTTAATAATCTTTTGTTTTATTGATAAAACGTCTACAGCATTGTGTACTTTTGTTCCAACAAGAGACGACTTTGCTCAAACCAGGTTCATTTCTAGGATTTCACTTGTCTGGTACTAAACATTAACTGGGATCTTAATAGTTTCAACCACTGTACAGTATCATTTCACATCATCACTCTTTGTGAAAGAAATTTCTTCTCAATTCCATTCTTCAAGATCTCCAACTAAAATGTTTACTGCTTCTCCTACACAGATGAGGGTACCATGGTCTAAGATAAATCTAATACAGGTAGTACAAGATTATGGAAATTCCATCAGCCCTTAGTCAAATTATGGTTGAGAAAAATTTTAAAAATGCAATTCAGACAGACAATCATGCAAGTCTTCAGATTTCAACTGTAACAAAATTCATACTTGCTCGACCACGACATTTTCTTCAGACAATATTCTGAATTATCAATTCTAAAAACATTTCACATGCACTAATTTATCACAAATATTTTAATTCTTTGCTCACGTGAATAGAAAATGCATTTGCTCTCATCGTCTTTCCTTTTCTATTATAGATCTGGCAATCTTAAAACGAGTTAAACTGCAGCCTTCTCTCATACAACAGATTGCATCGTGGCTGTCAACTCTCCAAGTCAGGTGCCAGTCAGAGCAGCAAGAGCAAACCTGGGAATGACCAGCAGCAGTGGGGCTTCTCAATAAAAGCTCAAGGATCAGGCCCAAATCAAGTCATCAGGGGCAGCAGCTAACCTCAACAGGAGTCATACCAGAATTTGAAAAAGGTTGACAAATTATGTGGGAAGTCTGAGCCTGGATGACCACATATACAAGCGCCACCAGTTTGATCAACTTAAGCTTAAGCACGAGCTAGAGGCACAGCAGTGCATTTGCAAGGCTGATAGCACATTTTAGACTTGGTCAACCCGCAAATTAAGGAAGGGGAGTCAGGGAAGGAACAGGTGACCAGTCAGAAAATACAGACGACAGGTAGGCTGGAAAGCCCGAGTGCCTTACAGTCAAGAGTCTTCCTGCATTGGAAAAAAAAAAATTGTAAAATGGCTCCTCTGGGGCATACAGCCAAAGCTGTGAGAAGAGAACATTCATGGCAGACTCAACAGTCAGGGCTACAAACATACTCCAAAATGGTGCAATGTGACATCGATGACCTTTCCATAGGGAGGCAATATCCTGCAAGACAGATAGAGTCTTCAAGGTGAGTGCATACATTCAGTGATAATGGTTCACTTAAGTACCAACGTATGGAGAAAGTGGGAGCAGCTTTTGCAATAAGAAAAAAGCAGGGCCTTAACGGTTGTAATCTCTGGGTTACTCCATGCTAGTGAGGATAGGAACAAGCAGATACAGCAGTGAATGGAGAGTTGCTGCAGGAGTGGGTTTAGATTCCTGAATCACTAGATCAATTTCTAGAGAAACTGAAACACAAATCCAACAGATTGTACTTGAACCAGAATAGGACTAAAGAGGGAGGCATGCTGGTGATGTAGGTGGCACTTTAATTTGGCAGGGGATGAGATACAGAGTGGGCATACAATAGGGGTAATGCACAGAAAAGTACACAAGAAAAACCCAATCAATCTGGAAGATAGAGCATACACAAAAATTAAGGCGTAGAAGAGTGTAGCAAAGTTGGATGACATTTATTATAATTCAAGCATGCACTTAAAACAGATGAGTGGAAGATGTTGATTAACACATGGGGATACATCATTGTCACTGTAGAGACATGTTTGAGGAAGGGGCAAGGCCAACAGCTCAATACTTGAGAGCATATCCTTCTGTTTCACCTGAAGATTGTAAGAGTCAATTACAGCAATAAGGAAGGATGACATTTTAGATGTTTCTTCAGTTGAGGTCATACACGTAGAACTTGAAAAATGGGGCAATTGCATAATTGGGGTTTATTGTACACTCCCATGCGAACAAGGGCGAGACAGAACTACAGATATCCAAGCAAATTTCAATAGTAAATAGGAATATAATGATAGGGGATTTCAATCTCTCAAATATTACTGGGATGGACAAAGTGTAAAACACTTCTGGAAATATTTAAGAATTTCACTCAAGTGTTTAAGCAAGCACAAAGTCCTAAAACACAGCAATGCTAGACCACATTTTAGGGAATGGAGCCAGGCAAGTAGTTTTGAGGTGTCAGTTGGGGAGTAGGTCAGTGATAATGACTATAACTGCCTTAAATATTTGATTTATGGAAAAGGACAAAGATAGGCTGGAAATAAAACATTCTGAATTCGGCAAAGCCAATTTTAACGTCAGGATAAGATCTGGTCAACATGGGCTTGGGAGTTACTGACAGGAAAAAGTTTAGACAGAGTGATTCATTCAAAAAAGTGCCAAAATACTCCTGTAAAGATGAAGGGTGGGGAACGTGGAAACAATTGTTGGGAGATGGAGCCCAGAGAGCAAAACATGCATGGCCATGGGTGAAGAGGTGGTTGGAGCGTTCAAACTGGAAATTCTGACACTGATGTAAAGCATCAGCAGAATCATGGATGCAAGGAGGAAGGAACTGGACAAGGGGAGCAAAAAGCCAAATTGATGTAGGAAGAGGAGTTCTGTAGGGCAGGAGCAGGCAGAAACAATGGACCTGCCCACACAGTCCTATTTGTGGATTTTTTGGGTATGAAATAGAGGCAGGTATACGGTTTTGGGGGATGAGTATAATGTGGCAGATGGGGGTGGGTGGGGGGGGGGGGGGACAGGGGGTATAGGTTAGACCAGGGATGGGAGGAGCGGCGGGGGGGGGGGGGGGGGAGATTTCGGGG